GCCATGTTCGGCCCTGCCCGCGGCGCCGCGCGCTGCCCCCTGGAGCTTTCCGCGGGGCCTGAGGGGCAGCAAAGCCGGGCCGGGCCGGGCTGCTGCGGGCCAGGTTGTGGGGGGCGTTAACGGTTTCCCCTTTTGTAGAGCCCGAAAGCCAAAAGCTGCGGCGGCAGCACGGAGCCCGGTTTGTTGAAGTAAAGCTGGTGAATAAAATATGATGTCTGTATGCGATGTTGTTTCAAAGATTACAAAAAGCTTACTATTGCGTGTTGTCTTTACTTCGCCTGCTGCCAGCCCGCAGCCTCCACCTCGCTGGTCCCAAGGAAGGAAACGTGGAGCAGATGGAAAACGGAGAAAGCAGAATGAATTAGATTCGTCTGTTTTTGATGAAAATGAATATAGGCCTTCTGACAACAGGCTGGACAGGTAGGTGATGCTTGCGTGGCATGTAAGTACTAGAAACAAGTCCGTCCTCTTTTTCTTCATCAGAAGAAGGTGTCAAGTTAATCAATTTAGTGGTGCTTAGTTCCTGTTCTTAGTTTGTGCCTAGTTTTTTCAAGTCCTGTGCTTTTGTACATCATTTGTAGATGTTAAATAGCTGATTTTAAGGAGGGAAAATAATCTAGCCTAGTGTTCTTATCTGGAGCCCCTTGTTATCAAGAATAAGTAAAAGTATTTTTCATTTTTATGTCTTGCATTATATTATTCATCACTTTCTATCCTATTCTATGCTTGTTTATTGCTATTCATCATGAGCCCCTATCATAGAAGCTGAGTCATACAACCAGAAGTCAATCTGTGAGACTTAAGCCTTGTTTTCCTGCTCCTCTGACGGGGTTTAATCACCATTTGCAATCCTAGCGGAGCAGCAGATGCTCCCAGCAGATACTGGGCCCAGCCCAGCCTTCTATCCAAGTGTGAACTGGTACATGGGGATGAGGGTCTGGAAAGAGACAGTTAAGTTGAGCTGGGTCTGGATGGTACCAGGGTTGTCACAGAGCAAAATAATCAAGAGGAAGCTATAGATCCTCTCACGTTCCCCCTATTCCCTATATACACAGCACAGGTACAGAAACAAACATGTACAAAAGGGTATGACAGACTGTTGAGGAAAAAGCTGAGGTTGTGGGACTAACCAAGTACTTTGGGATGCTTCTGCCAATAATGCATACTTTTTGACCGTGGGAAATCGGAATATAGTCTGCGTTCTCAGCCAAGTTAGAGGTCATTGCAAGCAAACGCTGGAAATCCTTGTAGTTTGAATAGATATTTGCAAAGCGACCTGTGCTGTATTTTTCTTTATTTGTCCTCTCCACATAAAGAGGACTTACAATTTGAATTTAACAAAAACGTGAAAGTAGTAATGCAAGCCTATTTCTGGTCTGGGAGCAGGGAAAGATTTGGAGCAGGTTTCAGTTCAGATGTGACTTAAACGGATTCCCTGACTTAAAAGGACTTTTCTGGGCAGAATCCTAGTAACTCTCCGGAGTACTTCTAAATCTACTGAAAAAGCTCTAGTTTGTAGGTTACGGTTTTGAGTTTGTACTTTGAGAAAATCAGTCGTCAGGAGGACAAGAAACTAAGCTGAAACACATATTTAATAATCTGAAATTAGGCAGCTGTTGTTAGCTGGAAGGGGATATAAGCTCTTCCCTCTGCCCCCAACAACAGCTTGAATCTGCTTATGATACTAATGTGCTGCAATAAAGACAGTTGTTAAGTATCTGCTGGCAAGGTCAGAGCAAATCTCAGTTTGCAGCCTAAAAACTGAACTTCATTTTTAGTGCATTTGCCTGTTCTTCAAATTATCTTTTTATATGGGAAAGTCCTGGTGCTATCACATAGCTTTATCTCCTTAGCTGTATAACTTAATTCTGTGTTCTAAGTTTTGTCACTTTACTGGGTCTGCAATCGTGAAAGGGTAAATAAGGGAGTAAATGAGTTACGATGGTATTTCATGTATTTTTTTCTGAAGGAAAACAGCTACAATATGGAAAATGCTGTAGGCTAGGTTACTTGCTACGTTGGTACCTTTCTACACATCTGTATGTAAACTTAAACACCCTACCCTCTCCAAGCCCAAAGGGAGACCCTGCAATGAGGTTTAAGTTTAAAATGGTTACGTTTTAAAAGAACTACACAAGATTCTTACAACTAAGACTGCTGTAAATGAATATGTGAAATAACTATTAAGCTGAAAATGGAGGGGAACGTGGGGAAAAAAAACTTAAAATAAAATTTTAACGTAGAGGCTCTCTTCTCAGTTTTACAACACCGGAAGGCCCTGGACCCCTTTCACGGTGTTCAGACTGGGGAACTGCAGTGGAAGAAGATGAAATGAGGACCAGTGTTAACAAAGAAATCGCAAGGTACCATGGGTGTTTAAGACAAAGTAGGAAAGGGAGGGGAAACGGTACTAGTCTTGCAGAATCTGTATTGACTTGCATTTTAGCTTCATAATTGTAGTAAAGTCGGAGACTAATGTAGGCCTGACAGCCCCATATAGTAAGTCCTGCTTTTAGGCCAGCTTTGGCTGGCCCACTAGGAGTCATATAGGAGTGACATTTTAAAACTCTCCAAAGGTTGTGCTGTATATTACTGAATGTCCCCCTTTTGGAAGAATCCTATTCTAAATCTCTTAGATTGAGTTACTGTGAGTGTCATTTCACTGATTGCTGTTCTTGTGTATAGCTACTATAACAAGAATTTTAGGGAGAAGACTTGGGAAAAGTAAATTTTGAGAGTTATGGAATAGATCTTTCAGTTTTTCCCTAAATGGAAAGATATTTATAGTTTGTGCGTTGACTTCAAGGTTATTGCTTAACTGAGAAGTGAAATAAACTGTGAGCTTGGGGGAGGGGGAATCTTATATTTGCTTTGTATATAATATTAACAGTATTGCTTTGAACTCTTACAGGTATAGAAGAAAACTCCTGATAAATGAATTTTCAAGAGAAAGAAAGTCCTCCTCTGGAAGGTAAGATAAATTTCTGTCTTAGTTGAGGGAAATCCTGACGATAGGTCTCAATCTCACATGTGCCCTGTTGCTTCTGAAAACCCTCAGCTTGAAATAGTTCATCCTAAGTCTGCTCTAACATGTTAATTCAATTCAATAAGAACGTTATCAACTGCTTTTTAAAAAAAAGTTAACTTTTCAGCATCTATGTATGTTTTTGTCTTTGACGATCATTGGTTTTCTAATACTCCCAAATCTACACTTTTTTTTCCCTCTAGTTCTGATTCAAAGGAATCCACTGTAACAGTAGAACTTGAGACAGATGAAGTGGTTTTGATGAGAAGACAAAAGCAGATAAACTATGGAAAAAACACAATTGCATATGATAGATACATTAAAGAAGTTCCTAGGTAAGGTTTTTGAATTTCTGGAAAACTGTAAATATACAAATATGCCATACCTGTTCTTTATAAGCATGTTAACAGACTAAGCTTGGTACCTGAGGTATATTCAAATGAAGGCATCTGCAAACGTGATTTTTCTGAGACATTTCTTCCCCACACCACCCCCCCAAGATGATTGAAACTAATGATATTATGTAACTTGACTTGGTTTTTTTTTTTCCCCGACTGCTCTGTGCATGAGGAATGTCACTTAGAACTTTCTCATGTTGCCGAAATGAAAGTGAAAGCTGTTTTGGTTGTAGTTGTGGCAGTCAACTAGAAGAAATGAAACTGTATTTTTCACAGGCAGTTTTCTCCCTTCCTAAACTGAAAGGCAAAACAGAGCCTCGTTGCTCTTAAGTTTGACAGGTATATTATTATATGCAGAAACTGCATGCTGAAATTTTCAGACTTAAGATTGATAGTCCATTTTTATTTAAACTACCCAAAGATGGAAAATCTAAAATGTGAATATATAGATGATAACCTTTCACTTCGGGGCTGGAATTGTACCACTTGTGGAGTTTTTTCTCTAAGTGATTATGTTACTTATTTCAGAATGTGTTGGGCTGTAATCAGGCTATGTAGCAGGCAACCAGTCTTAGAATTTAAAGCTATTTGACATGTCTGTGTGAAAAGCATTAATGAATTTTTCATGTCTAATATGTGGATAGGTGCCATCGTATACCAGGAGTTCATCCCAGAACTCCAAATAAATTTAAGAAGTACAGCCGTAGGTCATGGGACCAGCAAATTAAGCTATGGAAAGTTGCGTTGCATTCCTGGGATCCACCTGCTGAAGAAGGATGTGATCTACAAGAAATGTATGTATTGAGTATTCAAGATACCTTTAAAGAAAGTAATATATACAATCTTAGGCTTGAGGGGGGAGGGGTTAAAAAAAAAAAAAAAAAAAGACAGCCCTTTTGGAGACCAGTCAGTGATCACTGAATGCTTTCCCTAGCTGCTTGCCTACACTGAGCGCTCTCTGGAGCTATTCATTTCTTTTGCGGACAAAATATGTATTGACTGACTTTTGAGTTTTTTGGATCTAGTTGGTGGGACTGGACTTAGCTAGTGTCCATGCAAGGACATGGCTGTATGTCCCTCATTTCTTTAGTGGATTTCCACAGCGTGAAATCAGAGAACCTGCTGCAGTGCTCTCTAAAAGGAAGCACCACACCTGCAGGGCAGGCTAGTCCTTTCAGAACAGTCTGCAGACTAATTCTAGAGGAACAAAAGTGACTTGTGGTAGCAGCAGTGCTGAGGAGTTTGCCTGACGGACTTGCAGATCTCATGAATATTGAGCTCAGAACACAGCGTACAGGAACATGCCTTATACTTTTCTCTTTTGTTAGTTCAAGAACGGGGTATAAGTTTCTTGTTCCCTGAGCAGAGGGGAGGAAAGAAGGACTAGTAAAATCACCTCAGGGTCGCATTAAATTAAAAACATCGCTATGAGAGTTCACAGTCCAGGCTAGTGTGATCTTTTACTCTAGAAGATTCAGAAGAATGTGACTTGTTCCTTTCATCTGTAGGAACTAAAACTGATCAAGGAGCTTGCAAGATAAAATAAACTGGAACTAACCGAACGAAGGGAGAGAGATGTAACTGATTTTCCAAGAAAAAGAAATATTTTTGTTGCTAAGGTTTTCTTTTCTAATGAGGACAATGATAAAAATCAGTATGCAGCAATGTGATCTAAAAACAAAGGGTTAATTTGGTTTGCTTTTTACTTGCAATTGACATGAAAGGAGTTAGTTGGTATTTTAGCTTGAAGCCTACTGTGTGTACTGTACGTTGCTGTTGAAACTATCCCCAGATGCTGGGATCTGGTTGTGTGTATGATGGCTGTTAAATTTTACATTGGAAAACAAATTAGTGTCATCTCAGGGGAAAAAAAAAACTCCTTGTTCTTTCCATGTTTGCCCTCTGTATTGAGGCATTGCTTGAACGTTGGATATTTGTGTTCAGCAAGCTGTAGTATTCAGTCTCAAGACTTAAAGTCTTTGTGTGTTTTTGACTGTGTTAATTAACTTGCTATTCTGTTTGGTCTCAGCAACTTGCCACCCTTGTCCCTATAATCTCTGTAGGTCTCTCTGTGCTTGTTCTGGCACCACTTCTAGAATTGCACCCACAAAATGCAATAAGCTTACTGTGAGAAAACTGAATTTGTTCTAAGCGATATACTTTTGAATTATTTTACAGTACTCCTGTTGATCTTGGTGAGATGGAGACAGAATCTATAGGAAGCCATTCTACTGAATCTCAAACGAGTTCTCAAGATAACGATGTAAGAATATCTGTCACTTGCATAATTTTTTTTTTAATCAGTCCATTACTTATAATTGTATCCAGAGTAGCCTGAATACATTAGAGCCTCTGTGAGCTGCCAGGTGTAGATGGAGACTGTTTATAAAGCGGAGTGATTTCAAGTCACAGGGGAACTCACAGAAATATTTTCCAGCTATAGCCAATTTTTGTTTGTAGTCCAAGTTCAGAGAGAACTTAAGTGATCGGCTGAGATGACAGATACCTCATTCTTCATGGCCTACGAAAGAGAAAGCATCTGTTTGTTTAAAGCATGCCACTTGTGACCTGCAGTGTACAGAAGAAGTACTTCTTTTTAAGATTGTGATATCGAATGTTAAAACAGGACATAATTGGTGTAACTGTCATGGCACACTGTGACTTGTTGAAGTAAGCTATTTTTATATCCAGGAAGTGTTTTTCAGAGCTGGGCAGTAAACTTCCATAAAGATTCAGTAATGTTTTTCTTAATGAATTTCTTTCTCTGAATATTGAATCTGTATAATATTGCAGTGTCTGAATACATAGATCCTTTGAACATAGTAAACAAATCTTTGAAAGTGTTTGGATGGGCAGAGAAGCCTTCATTTAAATTCTTCAATCTTATACTAGTCTTGTTTTTTTTCTGTGTTAAAGTGTTTGTAAGCCTCTGTTACAGGGTAGGCTAAATGAATTACAGAAGTGAAATATGTTATCGCATAACTAAGTTGCACTTGATGACTAATTGCTCACTGACTTTGTATTCCAGGACACTTATTCTGGCACTCCCACAAAAGTCAGACATGTCAACTATCAAACAGAAGATGAATTTGACTTGGAAGCGTGTTTGAGTGAGCCGCTTAAAGATCTCAATACTATGAGTTAAGTAGTGTTGGGCAAAGTGTTTTAGAGGAAGTTTATTTTAAATTTGAGAGGTTAGCCTGATTAATAAACTGGGTGTTGTCTACTTGTTAATAGTATGAAAGCTTGAGCAAAGTTAAGGACTGTTCTCTAAGCTGTGGTTGGTCTATGTATTCTCTGGACCAAACCTATGTAAAAATAGAATTAAGTTGTGTGACTTCTTTTTAACTTCTAATTTATGTTTTATCAGACTTTTTTTTTTAAAGAACTTTTCAATAGAAAAATAGCCAAAGGCAATGCTGTCCTCAAGTAATCCTAAATAGTTCAGTAAGAGCATACTGTTTATCCTGTAGCTGAGTTTGTAACTTCAGTTGCCATGTCACATCAAGAGCAAAGTAGGGTGATGTTGTTGACCATCGATATGCTACTTTGTTTTTCCATGTGGCTCTGCTACAAAGATTTATCTGTAGGTAATACAGGAGGCAGCTGAACCATGCTGATGATTAGTACTAGCAAACAGAGCCACTGCAGTTAAATTTAAGTTTAAACTGCCTTACGTAAGAAAGAGCAGGTTCTTTTTATTTGCAAAAATATTTCCGAAACAATGGGAAAGTAAATACTGTAAGAATCTGGAGTTCCATATGGTAAAGCCCAGGTAGAAGTGATAGTGCTTTAAGAAGCAGTAGCCCGAGAAGTCTGTAAATAGTCATGAACGTTAAATGCAGTCAAGAAAACGAAGTGCTTAATTCTTTTTAATTTGCTGATTTTAAATGTAAAACTGTTGTAAATGATAACATTGTACAGACTTTCTGTTTTCAGCAGAAGATGTTTCTATTGCTTTTTGTATGGGATGTTGCTGGAAAATAAATGGATATGTGTTTGTTTATGACTCTTAAACTTCATTTGATACTAATTACGTTCTGTGGATAACAAAATGCTGGTAACATGCTGAAAAACACATACCTGAGACTGGTATTAATACCTAGGTTTGCATATATGTTTTTAGCACCATCTTCTGATTGTCTTTGAGGGCACCTAATACCTCCTTGCATGTATACAGGCTGCTGTAGTAAATTTAAGGCTTAAAGTTATATGGGTAAGCCTACTGACCTTTTGCAGACTCCTCAGAAGTAGTTTAGACTAGTAGTTGTCCATTGGCTGACTAGCAAGTTCTGTTATCCAGAACACCTGCTAGAAGAGCTAGGTGGAAACTTCAGTCTTGTTTGTTTAACAGGACCTTTTATCAAGGAAAGTCACTTGGATTTATCTTTAAAATGGAGTTTCTGGGTGTGGATGTTATGTCAGGCTTACCAGAGACACTTCTCAACTTTCAAATGAGTATCTTGGCTATGAGGAATATTACTAGCTCTCTAATCAATCAGGCACCCATAAGATTCTTATCTAAGATCTGGTGGGGAAACCTTCAAGAGGAGGCTATGGCTGGGATAAAGATGGAGCTGCGCTCTGTTAAGGAGATGGCCTTCCTAGCAGAGAAGTCCGCAAACTGAATAGTTCCTCTTGCTCACTGCCCTGAGGGCCTTGAGCTTACAAACAGAAGAGAGCTACATATCTAAGAGAAAGTTTATGGGATCTGTTCAATGGCTCGTAGTTCTCCTCTGATCCCTCTGTTCCAAGTTCTGCTTTCTGCCCTCTCCCCAGTCAATTTTCTTGTTCATTTCCTGAGTAGGTTGCCCCTACTTTTCTTAGTAGTTCTGTTGTTGAATACCTAGTGGTAGCTTGAGCTACAAAGTCACTTCAGAAATTTTTTCCTATATCTCCTTCAATAAAGGTGGTCTTAAGGTCAAGCCGAACTCTTCTGTGACTAACTAGAATCTTTTCTAAACTGGAATCCAGACAATTGCATATGAAGTTGCTTGGGAACTAGGTCAAACAATGACTACTTAGTTGTTTGTTTGTTTTTTATGGTTAATGCATCTGACTTGAGTCAGTCACCTAAAGCTTAACTTAAATGGCACAGAGACAGAACTGTATTTAGTACCACCAGTTACAAACTGTATCAGAAGAGTTTTTTTGAGGATAAATGTATTACTTTCTGATTGTTTTGAAGATTATTGATGAGTAACATTCAAGGCAAATGAATAGCTTTTTTGTTTGCTTCATAAGTTTGCATATTAAGCAACAAAGAGTTCACACAACTGACTGTCAGTCAAGAATAAAGTATTAATATTTAATGACATGCTGTTTTATCCAGTGTGAAATGAGGTAAGGCAAGAATTCTGTAGCAAATCACATATGGTGTAACTATAAACTAGTATTTCATAGGTCACTTACGTCACCTTGATTCTCTCCTCATAAGCCTGAAGTGCTTGACACTTTGCAGTAATAATTGGATCTAGATTTTGTGTCTCAGTTCACATGTTATCAGGAGATACCAGGTGCTTTTGCTGGAGACCTACTTTTACCTGCCGTGGTAACGCTCAAGCTCTCTAGTTCTGTGTTATCATACTGTAATAGCTTTGCAAGTTATTAGGTGATCAATGAATTATCTTCTCTGCATGCTCTTCTTAAACTCATGTTATATCAAAACTTGACGCGATTAAAGCGGCAGAACTTCTCAAGGGTATATCTAGGCTATTCAGGATAACCTGAATGAAATTAAGTCCTGGAGTACTAACAGATTCATATAATCTGATCTCCTGGATAACGTGGGCCGTAAAATGTCACCTTAAATAATCCTGTAGTGAATCAATTTTCTCTGAGATGGAGAACCAGAATGAGGCACTGTTGGAGTCGCTACGCTAAGGGAGAAAAGATTAGATGAAACTTTTAATGGGAGGAGGAGAAATCTCGTTAATCTTAACGTCTATCTGTGTGTCGGAGTGCATGGTCAAGGCCAGCAGACTGAGAGTGGAAATGTTCTCTAGATAGCTGGCCAAGTTGGGTCAGTGGAATATTCAAAAGATTGCTTAAAGGCTACCTCCAAAGGATAAGGATACTTAAAACTGGTTTCTCGTTAAGAATATTGAACCCAGCAAGTATCCCCTGAGATAGATCTGAAATGTGTGCATCTTCTCTAGTTTATTCTACAGAAACCTGTCACTGTTCTAATCTGAAGAACGTCCACATCTGTGAAAACCACTTTCTATGGAGCTTTTTTCAGAACTTCACCAAAAAAAAAAAACTTTCTTTATAGGAAGCATCTGGCTAGGGTATTTGAGACTTTGTTATATTCATATGAAAAAATACTTCAAAACCGAATATTTTTTAGTAATTCAGGTTCTTTTTGGCAGTCACTAGGATTCTGTGACTTGTGTTCTTGGGGATCTGTATCAGTGAAGGAAATAGAGGACCCTTTTTCTCACCAGAAGACTCAAATATGGGGAGGACGTGAGCAAAACATCTTGGGGAACCATAGTACCTTTGTACTTGGCAAACGCTTGGGCAAACACCTCAGCTGAGTGAGTTTTCTGTTGTTAGAATGAAACGCATAAGAAATATTTCTCCTCTGGCAAATGTCTTGGGACGCTTCTGAGTTTCTACAGCGTCTCTCTTCTGTGGGTAGCTTATATGTACGTTTAGACAAAACTAACTAACTGGCTATCACACAGCCAAGATTTCCATCACAGGCCTTGGGATGTGATTATCTTGTTCCCAGTATTGCGTGCAGCCTGCCTCCTGACACTGCTGTTACAAATGCTTTCATATACAAGAATCATCCAGTTGAGAATAATGATGCTTTTCCACCCTACCCCTTGCTTATTCACCAGCTCCAATTCCCCTATGTAGGCATGGATGTGACCTTATTTTCAGGTCTTTTCTCAGTTTTCAAATTTTGGAGATTTTCCATTGTGCTGCACTTGGTCGGTTCGTATTCCAGCCATGTGCTGGAATGGGTCATTCTTCTACCTGCCAGGTCTATGCTATGTTGCCCCTGCCTCTGAAGTATAAGGTCCTGTGGCTGTTCCTTTTTCTAGACATTTCTATATATTCATCCTCTGTTTCTCTAATGCGCTTTGGCTAGTTTACAGGTAACTTATTTTTGCTTGGCTGCCTTAAAAGCAGACCTCAGGTGAAAGTCTGTGCTGTTCAGTATGCATTCCAGCGCAGGGACTAGGTATGTGTGAGTAGACAGGTTGAGCCTAGTAATTTCTTTAGGCTGGACTGTGTTCAGTGACCGTTCCTAGAACGGGCTCACGTTTTGAACAGATCTCAAGACAGACGGGCATCCATACTGCTGTCTTTAATTCTATGAGTTATTCCCCTTCTCTTCAGCTACTTAGAGATGGTTTTATGGATTGCATCTAGCTAGGTGGCTAAAGAGAGTGACCACGCTGTTGGAATTTTTTTCCTAAGATGTTGGATTATCAAACTGGAAAACAGCTTCGTTTTGTTGTTGGATAAAGCCCTCTGGTGGTTAAACATGGGATAACTTTACCCTTTAAGGGAACGTCTGGTAATAGAATCTTATGTGAAATAGCATTTGTGCATTCAACCACATAACTTCATACAACGAAGTTTACTTAAGATGGAGAACTGGCAAGTACCTCTGTCAACTTTAGATATATTAGGTTAAGTTTTTAACTTTTTTTTTTTAATGTAGGCAGCAGAACTTGTGAACCCTGCTTTCTTACAGATTCGTGCCTTTTATTTTATGATTCTCTTACTCCCTTCATAGCAAGAGTCCTGAATCCTGTTTCAGCATCCTTCATATCTTCATACCTTCATGCCTGGCTAAGTGAGAGCAGTCTTAGCCATGGCTAATTTAAAGCTACATCTGTGTTGACTGGATAGGTGGTGAATCTGTGCTGATAGGATGGCAAGTGGAGAAGGTTAGAGCTAAGCTGTCCCTGCTTTTCCTTCATGTGGGCATTAACTGGGTCTTCCTTCATTACTTATCTGTTGTTTCATAAGGCTTAAAGGAAAATTACATCTACCCTTCTGTTAAATATAGATGAAATTAGAAAGCTAGTTCAGAAATTAGGGGGAAAAGGGAGAGCAGCAGGAAAAAGGACTTGACAATACAGTGATTTACGTCTCTTTAAGGAATCCAAGCTAAAACTTACTGTGTTCAATGAATTCATTTCTGAATCAGAAATGCACATGAGCAAAACACTGGTGAATGGATATGTTTACTAAAGTTATTTTCAGGAGTCAAAACGATTATCTGTTTTGTCATTGTTGCTGATATACGTAAGACACTGGTATAGAGGCAGCTTTTTTGTAATTGTGCTTTAACGTGGATCCATGCAGAAGTCTTTTGGGGGATGATCAAGTGTGTTTTATTGAAATACCTGGACGGGTGAAAGAGTTGTTCTGAAAGAGATCCAGACTTTCCTGAAAGATCCCCCATCCTCCTGTGTTTGCTTGAGATGCATCTATATAATTTCTCAGAACTTGAGAAGACTGATTAATAAATGTTTATGTCTTCCTTTTTGGGTGCTTTCTGACATAAATATGAATAATTTTGGAAAAATAGCATACCTACAGTTGAGAGATTGAAGGTTCTTTGGGCAGTGTTAGAATTTAGTTTTATTTATTTTCAAAGAAACCAGTGTACTTAGGGTGTAGTATAAATGATAGACTGGCTAGGAGAGAGAGCCGTATTGTTGGGCAGAATCTATCCAATACATCCAGTATTTAATTCTGTGGTGTCTGGGTAGTACCTAAATACAAAACATACAAGAAATCAAGATCTAGCATCTGTCAGTTCTGGCCCCCACCAGTGCTGGATTACCACCAGCGCTGGTTTCTTCATTCTTTGAGCTTGCCATTTAGCTCCTTTGGATTGTGTTTAAACACAATAGGAAACTAATTTATCCACAAAGGTGCTGATTCATGCACTTGAGAAATAAGTTAGCTTTAAGTGGAAAATTGGAG